TATCGGGATCTATGGGCCTCCTCTAGAATCAACTCTCGAAAACCATCCACATTAGGCACACAAACTCGACCCTGCAATCTCAAAACTCCATCATCACCTAAGGTAACCTGCTTGGCACCTCCGTGCTGCACCGTGTCTCTAAGGACACACAAATGGGGATCTTCATATTGCCAATCTCGGATACGCTCCAATAATGAAGAACGAGCGACTGTGCAAGCTAACACACGGCTGGGCTCAGAAACATCCAACCTCACGAACTGATTGGCCAAAGCCTGAACATCCAAAGCAAGCGGTCTCTCACTAACCGGAATATAAGCATCGGCCACCACATTAGCATTTCCCGGATGATATAAGATGGTGATATCATAGTCTTTCAACAGTTCCAACCACCTTCTCTGCCTCAAATTCAACTCCTTCTGCTTAAATAAATACTGCAGACTCTTGTGATCCATGAACACCTCACATGCCACGCCATACAGATAATGCCTCCAGATCTTCAACGCGTGAACAATGGCTGCCAACTCCAAATCATGAACCGGATAGTTCTTCTCATGAATCTTCAATTGCCGCGAAGCATAGACAATGACCTTGCCATCTTGCATCAATACCGCACCAAGGCCAATACGAGATGCATCACAATAAACTGTATATGGCCCTGAACCTGTGGGCAAAACCAACACTGGTGCCGTAGTCAAAGCTGTCCTGAGCTTCTGAAAGCTCGCCTCACACTCGTCCAACCATCTGAACTGGGCACCCTTCTGGGTCAACCTGGTCATCGGGGCTGCAATAGATGAAAACCCCTCTACGAACCGACGATAGTAGCCTGCCGATCCCAAGAAACTCCAGATCTCTGTAGCAGATGCTGGTCTAGGCTAGTTCTTGACTGCCTCAATCTTCTTCGGATCAACCTGAATACCCTCAACTGATACAACATGACCCAGGAATGCAACTGAACTCAACCAGAACTCACACTTCGAGAACTTGGCATAAAACTGACTATCCCTCAAGGTCTGAAGAACCACTCTAAGGTGCTGCTCGTGCTCCTCCCGGCTGCGGGAATATATCAAAATATCATCAATGAAGACTATCACGAATGAATCCAAGTAAGGCCTGAACACTCGGTTCATCAAATCCATAAAAGCTGCTGGGGCATTTGTCAACTCGAATAACATCACCAAGAACTCATAATGCCCGTACCGAGTGGGGAACGCTGTCTTAGGGACATCGGATGCCCTAATCCTCAACTGATGGTAGCCAGATCTCAAGTCAATCTTTGAAAATACCTTGGCACCCTGAAGCTGATCGAACAAATCATCAATCCTCGGCGACGGATACTTATTCTTGATTGAAACCTTGTTCAATTGCCGGTAATCTATACACATTCGCATCGATCTATCCTCCTTCTTAACAAACAACACCGGCGCACCCCAAGGCGAAACACTGGGTCTAATGAAACCCTTCTCAAGCAAGTCTTGCAACTGCTCCTTCAACTCTTTCAACTCAGGCGGGGCCATACGCTACGGCGGGATAGAAATGGGCTGAGTGCCCGGAGCCAAATCAATGCAAAAGTCAATATCCCTGTCGGGTGGCATACCCGGCAGGTCTGAAGGGAATACCTCAGGAAACTCACGAACAACGGGCACAGACTCAATAGAAGGAACCTCTACACTAGAATCACGAACATAGGCCAAATAGGCCAAACACCCTTTCTCGACCATTCGCCGAGCCTTCACATACGAGATAACACTGCGGGTAGAATGACCAGGAGTCCCTCTCCACTCTAAACGAGGTAAACCCGGCAAGTCTAAGGTTATAGTCTTGGCATGACAGTTCAAGATAGCGTGATAAGGTGATAACCAGCCCATTCCCAATATGACATCAAAATCAACCATGTCCAAAAGAAGCAAATCTACACGAGTCTCAAGACCTCCAATCACAACTATACATGAACGATGGACTCGATCTACCACAATAGAATCACCCACCGAGGTAGACACATAAACAGGAGCACTCAAAAAAATACTAGGCATGACCAGATGCGGTGCAAAATAAGATAACACATAGGAGTATGTAGACCCTGGATCAAATAAAACTGAAGCCTCTCTGCTACAAACCAGAACAGTACCTGTAATAACTGCATCGGAAGCCTCAGTCTAGGGCCTAGCTGGGAGAGTATAACATCGGGGCTGGGCCCCACCACCCTGAACTACATCTCTGGGACGGCCTGCTGCTGGCTGGCCTCCACCTCTAGTGGCCTGAGCTCCACCTCTAATACCTCTACCTCCACCTCTAGCACCTCTACCTCCACCTCTAATACCTCTACCTCCACCTCTAGCTGGCTGAGCGGGCTGAACGAGTCCCTCAATGAACCTCCTCACTCTCTCTCACTCAGTGGGAAGTATAAGAAGAGCATGACGGGCCAAATCAATAAACCTGGTCTCGTACTGAGTAACGGTAATAGAACCCCGCTGGAGACGCTCAAACTGCCTCCGATAGGCCTCTCTCTGAGTAATGGGGAGAAACTTCTCCAGAAATAGCTGAGAAAACTGCTCCCAAGTCAAAGCTGGCGACCCGACTGGTATAGCCAAACGATAATCTCTCTACCAATTCTTGGCGGATCCAGACAAGCGAAAAGTAGCAAAATCGACCCCGTTGGTCTCCACTATCCCCATGTTCCTGAGAACCTCATGACCGCAGTCTAGATAAATCCTGGGGATCCTCAGAAGATGCACCGCTGAAAGTAGTAGTGAAGAGATTGGTGAAACCTATCCAACCTCCACAAAGCCTCCGAAGACGTAGTTGATCTATCACCGGTCTGTGCTGTTGTTCGGCTGAAGAAGTGGTACGTGACCTCGCCATTCGTGAAAGGACAAGAGTAGAGGTTTTAATTTAGCATTGAGAGAACAAAATCGCACGACAAGAAAGAATAGATGTGAAGTTTTTCCTAACTCTGTAGCCTCTGGGCTTGTCTGTGAATTGTGAGACCTATTTAACCTAGAGCTCTGATACCAACTTGTCACGACCCGGATTTTCCATCCTCGGGAGTCGTGATGGCGCCTACTAGTGAAAGCTAGGCAAGCCAATCAACTGAATTATTTGCCTTATTTTCATTTTTAAATCCGTTAACAGTTATAATCCAACAGTTAATAATCAACAAAATTTAACAAGCGGAAAACTTAATTTCAAGTTTAATAATACTGCTAATACCATTCCATAACAACACTACCCAAGATTGGTGTCACAACTTCAAAAACATCCGACGGACTTATTCGTTTAATCAAATCACCAAAATAACATCATGAACATCGAATTAATCTCAAAATCAATGAAATTTCTCAGAACTTCTTTAAACATCAAATTTTGCATTTAAGGTCCGAATCACGTCAAATGGAGTCCGTTTTTTACCAAACTTTACCTATAACACATATAAATCATATTGAACCTGTACCGCCTCCGGAACCATAATACGGGCCCGATACCACAGGTTTCACATAACATTTCACTTTCAAAAACCTTTATATTTTTCAGAAAACAATTTTCTTTAAGAAGTCATTTCTCGGGATTGGGACCTCGGAATTCGATTCCGGACATACGCCCAAGTCCTATATTTTCCTACGGACCCTCCAGGACCGCCAAATCACGGGTCCGGGTCTGTTTACCCAAAACGTTGACCGAAGTCAAATTAATTTATTTTATAGTCAAAATTTATCATTTTTCATAGATTTTCACATATAGGCTTTCCGACTACGCGCCCGGACTGCGCGCGCAAATCGAGGTGATGCTAAAAGAGGTTTTAAGGCCTCGAAATGCAGAATTAATTTAAAAACAAGTGATGACCTTTTGGGTCATCACACAAAGGCTCTTAGGGAAGCTACTTTATTTGACCATCACAAGGCCAGGCATTTCATTTGCTGTTCGGAGTCTCAACCAATTCATGCATAGTCCTAAAGGTTCTCATATGGAAGCTGCACTCAAGGTATCAAAAATATTCCAGGATTAGGGGTCTTTTTGACTGCCCATTGTTCTGAGTCACTCGCAGCATTTTGTGATGCGGATTGGGCTGCATGTCCTAATACACGCAAGTCAGTTACAGGATATTTTGTTAAGCTTGGTACTTCTTTGATATCTTGGAAATCTAAGAAACAATCTACCATTTTTAGAAGCTCAGCTGAAGCTGAATATCGCAGCCTCTTCAACTGTTGCTGAGGTTGTGTAGATTCTTGGTCTACTCAAAGAGCTGGGAGTTAAAAATCATTCCCCTCTGCCTATCTACTATGGTAGCAAGTCAGCTCTTGCCATTGCTGCCAATCCTGTCTTCCGTGAGCGCACAAAACATATTGATATTGATTGTCATTTCATCCGTGAGAAGATTCAAGGGCCTCATCTCCACTCTCTATTGTGCTACAACATAACAAGAAGCTGACATTCTTACTAAAGGACTTGGTCGACCTCAACATGCATATTTGATGTCCAAGCTAGGACTTCTGAATATTTTTCCCAGTCCTATCTTGGGGGGGGGGGGGGGTGTAAAGGATGTAGTTAGTTGTAGTTAGTTAGTTAACTTAACTACAGTTAGATTACAGTTAGTATGATAGTTAGTACAGCTGGCAAAGATTAGGCGGTAAGTTTTACTTATATACAGTAGCTTGTCTCTTTCATTTTGTACTTTACAGAAATAACATACAAAATTTCTCTCTCTATCGAATTCTCTCTGCATTCTTCGACTTTGTTTCTTTCTCTTTAGCTGCATGTTGATGATAAATTCATCATCTTTGCTTGATCCCCTTGAGGCCGGGCTGAGATTCATATGTTTTCTTAATAATCTTTGTTATTCACTATTCTCATTTTCTTTCTTTTTATTAGGTAAGTAACCCTTGGTATTCTCATTATTAAAAAGTTAAGTGTTTTTCTTAGTAAGTACTTTTACAACATGGGCCATCCCTCCCCGTCTAACTTATCCTTTTTTCATTACATAAAAACTTGAAAAGAAAAAGAGGAACTTTGCCCAAAAAATTCATCATTTCGTTGCCGTGCACACAAAAGTTATGTTGGTGTTCGAAAATTTAGCTCGTCTTTTCAGCACCAGAAAATTAGCCTATTGTTTGTGTTTGAAAACTGCTTCAAGCTTTAACCATGATCAATCACAATTGCCATGATTTCAAATTTTTTCACAAGTTATGAAATATTTTGGCAAAATTTTCTGAAGCCTCTGTAGATTGACATTGAACCTTGACCTCTACTGTGAAAATTGCTCTTACTGGTCTGTGGTCGGATAGTTTACACTCACTTCTATTATACTGCCTTTGCTTCAGTCCTTTCCCAAACCATATAATCCTATCACACCTGCACAAAAATTAATTACTTCAATCTTTATTATGAATAGTTTTGCAGTTCTATTTGTTTTGGGATATCTTGACACATCAAAAGGAATAAATCATGCATGATCTTTGCAACCAAAAAATAAAAATAAAATATATCGTGATCTTTAATTTGCACTTGACAGAAAAAGAAATTATGATCTTTTGCCACTTACCAAGCTGGGGTTCGGCTCTTTGCCCTTTTTCCATTCTGATCATTGCAGCCATAATAATCATCAGAATCTAAGTTATATTTATATGTCGGTGGAAACTCGATTTCTTCCTCATTCCATCCCTCAAAGGTACAGCCTTCTCTTAGTTCAGCCTTAAGCTTCAGTTTACAAGTTTTTCAACGTCAACTTCAGAGTAATGGTTATACTAGTTTACTATAGTATACTATTAAATAGTACTAAGTATTATATACATTGACACTGTATAGATAAGTAATCATAAAAGGTGGAACTAGCTTAATTTCTGGCTGTTAAATTAAAAAAATAGATCGAGTAAAAATTAAATTTATTACACATTCCGTGTTAAATTATTTATTATTTACTGATCGATCATGATTTAGAATACCTGATCGTTTTGTAATAGTGTGCTCCATTGGCGATCATTGACCAAAGATCTAGTCGTGGGTTCTGGTAAGTAAATCCTGTAATTCAGGTCGCCAAGCCAAATCACCCTGCTGCATGATATTACGTAGCTTGTGGCAGTTAGAAAATATAAATTATAGTACTAGCTACATATACTAATCATTGCGTGCAAATTTTGTGGTATTTAGAAGATAATACTTCAAGATATGCACCACTTGATATATAATTGTAAGTAATTTACTGCTTGCAAAGTGAAATCTTCTTTGTTGTGCTAAAAAAAAAAAAAAAGGAAAATTTGACTTATTTGCTAAATAAGTAAGCATCCATATGATGATACAAGGGGTAGGTTAGCATTTTGACAATTTGTCTCCATCTCATTTTTTTAAGAGTTTACCTAAATAGCCGCTCGCCCAACTGCTTAAACTAAAAATAATCGGCGGAGGTATAATATATACATAATTTAAGTATTATATATGCATAATTATATTATTAATATATAGTCTATGTATGTAGCTAGAAAAAGTAAACAGTGAATATGGCCGGCTATTTGTGTAAAAGAATTTATGCTTCCTTTTTTAGCTAATTAACTTTCTTTCAACTTGTAGGGGATAAACCGGATGTCTGACTTTAAGAAACATAATTAAGCCGTTTACTTTGTAGAACCACCTTTTAACTCTTCGTAGGGTTGGAAAGAAGTTATTCCGGGATTAGTTATTGCACCTTTCCATGAGAATAAAAAAATACTATAATTCCGGGATAAGTAATCCCAGGATTAATTATACCGCAGTTTTCTACCAACCAAACATGGGATAAACTCTTCTTAAATTTAGTCTCGGAATTAGTTATTCTTTATTCCTCGTACCAAACGAGCCCTTAGTCTGAAAATTATAGTGGTTGAGTAAATAATGTAAAATCCGAGAGATATACATACTCGTGTCGTAAAATTTTGCTGGGCAAACGGTGAAATGGATCGGAAGGAAATCTAGTGCGTGATTGTATTTGGGAGGCATTTGAATTTCGCTCTCTCTTGTCCCCTTCTTTTCCACCAGAAGCCAAATGACAACACACAAAGCAGAAGCTTGTTTCGTGCAAGCAAAATCTAATCGAAACTGAACCCTGTATATGATCATGATTTGCTCAAAATAAGTAATTAAGCAAAAGACTAGATATATAAGATTAATTATGAAGAAATTACAAATAGTGACATTTAAGATTGTGTACGTACCTTGTTGCCAAGGCAGCCAAAGATACCACAGCCTACAGAGGAGACACTTGTGTGTCTGATATAAGGAAGCAGGGGAATCCTTGCCCATATGGTAATAAAAATTCCTACCATTTGTTTGCTAATTATGCATTCAAAATGTGGTGAATTATTCTCTCTCTTTAGTGGGTAAACCTTTTGACTTTCTCCCACCTCTGCTTTCTGATGACCAATATCAGTCTTGTTGAGAGCTGCTCTAATAAGAGAATTCCATTGCATGGATATGCTTGAATTCTCTGTCACTATTATGTTTCCAGCATTCAGAGGTACAATTTCTTGAAACCTGACAAAAGTTTATAAATATGTATAACGTACAAGAAGTGGGGGTTAATGTTACGTTTAGTCACTGAACTTCATCCACGATAACAGTAAGGTCACAGATATAATATGTCCGATTAAAGTAACTGAATTTTACTCACTATAACAGTAAAGTCGGCGAACCTTACCCGAGAACGTAGATGTCAGCCAAATTGCTTTGAGTGTGGAGCAAGTCTTCCATGTTTAAGTCGACAGGTGGTGTAATGCCACCAACATTCCATGAGCTAACAAATAATCTTTTCAAAAAAAAAAAAAAAGAGGGGCAGGAAGTATAAGATGAAATGGAAGTGTATAGAAGAATTTTAAATGTTATAGTTAAAAAAAGAAGAAGAAATGTATACGTGAAATTTTGAATTTCAACAGAAGTTTCAGAATCAGCTGGTGAGTCTTGATCGTTGACTCTGTCCTCTAGGATCTTGTTAGCTGCTAAAGTAAGCCACATGACCTCGGAGAAGTAGGCAGAGACAGAAGAAAAAAAGTGCAGAAATTATACCATAAATAACTATGTGCAAGTGTGGGGGAGAGAGAGAGATGGTGGGCAATAAGTAAAAGGAGAAGTTTGTGTATATATATAAGGGGGGACAAAAAGGCAGTGTTGATTTGTTGGATTTTATACCTCTCTGTAACAACATTCATATATATAATCAGTGGCGAAGCTAAGAATTTCTTCAAGGGTGTTTAAATTTAAAAAAATAAAAAAAATATTCCGACAAAGGGTGTTAAACGTAATATTTTGCCTATGTACACAGTATAATTTCCATGTGGCTTCGCTACTGTATATAACAGTCATTCACTATAAAAGCCAAGTTTTTTAAAGTTATATTTTACCTTTCTATAACAGTTTTTTTTTATCTATAACAGCAACAATCATATTTATAACAGTGTTTATAGCAGAATGCTCTTTGTAAAATTACTCCTTTATAACAGCCATATAGAATTTTTATAATAATAATTCTAAAAATATCTCACAACCTTTTCCTTTAAACAAAGTTTCTATCCTGCACAAGATATAAGATTTGAAGATTTGCACATGATACCTTTTCCATTGGATAGATTCCAAAAAATATTTAGATAGAAAATTTAACTGTTAGGCTCTTAGATTGTCTTCAAGGGAAAGCTATTGGATACCTTTTTGCTGAAAATTTGGATATGAATCTTCGCCAATTTAAGTGTTATATCGCGAGTAAGAGAATGAAATCTACGAAAGAAGCTACAATTACTTCCATCAATCTTGAAAGAATTTATTTTCCTAGGCAACTTTAAAATATCTGCCTTGTTTAAATCTTCATACCTTTAGTTATGAATTTATTATTAATGTATTAGCTTTCTTCAGTATTTAACTAGTGAAATATACATATCATTTGAGATTTTAAATTTGAATAATTCTTTTATCTTTTATATGTAACATTAAAAAAGGAAAAATAATTAATTTTTGGATAACTTTTATCTATAACAGCTAATGTTACAGGTGTATAATAACCATTCACTATAAAAACAAAAAAAAGTATCCGAACAAACGAGGCTATTATAGGTAGGGCCGGATGTAGTAGAACAATAGGCTGGAAATATTGCTAATGGTAGGTGGTCTATTCTGGAAATGCTTATATAAAGGGAAAGGTAGTTAAACACAGCAGTAAAAGAAACCTATTCAATCTATATTTGGAAGGACAGCCCCAAGGGGAGAGTGATGTGAGGGATGATGCAAGTTGGACTATTCAGTTTTTATAGTATAATTTTGTCACTAATTAATCATTTTAATTACATAGCGAAAGCGGAAGGGAAGGTCAATATAAGAGAGGGTGGTGTGGGATGAGAAAGAGGCTATGCTGATTGGAAAGGTTGTCACTTTTCCCTAATAATTACTCCCTCTGTTCCAATTTATGTGAACCTATTTGACTGGGTACGGAATTTAAGAAAAAATAAGACTTTTGGAATTTGTGGTCCTAAACAAGTCGAAAAGGAGCCAGAATATTTGTGTGGTTATAAAAGCTTCTAGAATTGTAAGTTTAAGCTAAATTGTTTCCAAATTTAGAAAGGGGATCACGGATCAAAAAGGAAATTGGTTCACATAAACTGAGGGAGTATTGTTCCAGGTGGTATAAGATATTAATTAGCTATCTCAGCCACGGATCCACATGCAGTTGCTAAACCCACGGCTTTTAGTTGGAATCCTATGGCTATATAATGTAAATAGGGTTAAAATACATTTGATCTGCAAGGTACTGGCTGTCTCATGACCAAAGATATTCTTATTAAAGATGGTAACATCTGGAATGAGCGATTTTGGACCATTGCCAAGAGTGATCTACTTGGAGAAGAGTAGAGAAATGCTCGTTATGCATTTTATAGTACTATACGTTTTTGTTGAGGAATACCGGTAGTTAACTAGCATATAGTCACACAAAATAATAAGAGCAGAAGAAATAAGTGCGGATTTAATGAGGTTCGACCAAATTTACATGCAAAAAGAGTTTTTCACGATAAAATGTAAAATAATACATGAGATTCCCAATCACAATCGACTCGAGCTAAGACTAGGTAAGCCCATCGACATACGGAATAATTGAAATAATAATAGATATAAGTCTCAAACTCAACAGCTGTAATAAAACAACGTTACAACTCAGGATATACAATTTGAGACCCGACGTAGTACAAGTCACAAGCTCTAAGTACGAATACTGGATAATCCTATACATCATGTCTATATATATAAAGGATAATGAAATAAGAGAAATAGAGAGGGGGGACTCCGAGGCCTGCGGACGCCGGCAGGTATACCTTGAAGTCTCCGCAGTAGAATCCCGACTAATGCCTGGACTGATAAGAAGTGCCTGGATCTGCACAAAAAAATATGCAGAAGAGTAGCATGAGTACACCACAACGGTACCCAGTAAGTGCCAAGCCTAACCTCGGTAGAGTAGTGACGAGGTCGGGTCAGGGTCCTACTTGAAATAATAAAAGACTGAACAAATGTAGGCAGAATAATAAAGACATTAATGAAATTGAAACAACGAATAGTATACAAGATTAGCTACATAGAACTAAGTAAATAGTGCTACACGGAGAAAGACAATTAATAGTATGCTAAGAAATATAACGATCAAAGACAAGTACAAAGAGTGGGAAAATGTCAACAAGAGTCACTACCGAGGTACCGCCTCATAGTCTCAAATCACAAAATAAATCACAATCTTTCCTTATATCACCGCTGAAGCCTTTACATTTAGTTTTGAAAATTATTTTTCCCGAAATATCATCTTATATCACCGCATGTATTTCAACACCCAGACCTTATACCACCGCATGTGTATCAATATCACAACGTATCACAAATCGCACCTCAAGTGCCCAATATCACAATTTGCCAGAGAAACCAAACAATAATAGAATTTCACAATAAGGAGACCACGGCTCAACCACAATGTACACAGAGTCCCAACAATAATAACTAGAAGAATAACTCAATAGAATGATATTTCACAACTTAACACTTTGTCTCAATAGAAATCACGGCCTTTGCAACTCAACACCAATTTCAACAACAAGATATTCCAAGGAATAACAATTTCAAGTAAGAATTCAACAATTAAATAGTGAATACGGAATAAGGAAACACGAATTTCAACTAACAAGTAGAGCAATTAGCAAATAAGAGATAGGACAAGTAGACATATGAAATTAGACTAAATATGATGACTATAACATTTAAAGTAACTCAATTAAAGCATGAAGGAATCTACACAACTAAAAACCAGAAATTTCAACATTTAGTCCTTGTACAAACTCGTCACCTTGCGTACATGGCGTTCACATAACACAATTATCACAAAAATAACAAATTCTAAGGGGTAATTCCCCCACACAAGGTTAGACAAGTCACTTACCTCAAACCACGCTAAATCAATCAACTAAAAGGCCTTTCCCTCGATTTTCCAACACCGAACGGCTTGAAATCTAGCCAAATCAATTTCATAGTATAAATATAACAATAGGAAACTAATTCAAACAATGAAATTACAATCTTTGCAAAGAATTAAAAAATCGATCCAAAAAGTCAATCGGTGCCCGCGTCTCGGAACTCGACCAAAATTATAAAATCCGAACACCCCTTCGGTATCGAGTCCAACCATAGAAGAATTACCCAAACCCGACCTCAATTCGTCTTTCAAAGCTCAAAAATTTAGTCTAAGAAGTTCTACCAATTTTTCCAACTCTAATCCCTAATTACATGATAAATACAATCATAGGTTCGAGTAATTTAACCAAAATCGATTTAGGAATCCTTACCCCAATGTTCTCTCTAAAAATCTCCAAAATTTCTCCTCAAACCGAGCTCTCTAAGTCCAAAATGTTAAATATGAAATAAACCCTCAATTTCAAACTTAAGTTCTGCTGCCCAGTGATTCCTTCATCACGAACGCGAAAAGAGCCTTGCGTTTGCAATGCACAAAAGTACACAGCTGCCAAAACACTCGACGCGAACGCGAGATTTCCCCTGCGAACGCGAAGCACTACCTCATCAAGCTATGCAATCGCGATGAACAAAGCGCGTGGACATGTTGTCCCCCCAAATTCCTCTACGCGAACGCGAACGCGACCTCCTCCACGCGTTAGAGATTCACTGCAACCAGCCTTCCGCGATCGCAAGCCCCTTCACGCGATCGCATAGAACAAATTCCCCCAGTGCCAAGCTACTCTTCGCGATTGCGTAGATCCACCCGCAATCGCGTATAAGAAAACCAAAAGCACCAGATTCAGCGATCATCCATGATCCGAAATACGCCGAACATGATCCAGATTACACCCGAGGCCCCCGGGACCTCAACCAAACATACCAATAAGTCCTAAAATATCATACGAACACACTCAAAGCGTCAAATCACATCAAACAACACTAGAATCACGAATCGCATATCGATTCAAGCCTAAAGAACTTATGAACTTCCGAATTCTAAAACTAATGCTGATTCATACCAAAACAACTCCGATTGACCTCAAATTTAACACACAAGTCATAAATGATATTAGAGAACTATTTCAACTTTTGGAATCACCCCGATATCAATAAATTCAACTCCCGGTCAAAATTTCCAAAATCTCCCATTTTTCAACTTTCGCCAATTCGCACCGAAACGACCTACGGGACTCCAAATCAATATTCGGACGCGGTCCTAAGACCAAAATCACCATACAGATCTATTGGAACCGTCAAAATTGCATTCCGGGGTCATCTTTACACAAGTCAAACTACGGTCAACTTTTACAACCTAAATTTCCAACTAATTGACTGTGTGTACCGTTTCACTCCGAAAATCATCCAAAACCAAACATCCGATAAGTCACAAAATCACAATATAAAATAGAGGAAGCATAAATTAGGGTATGCTAAAATTCTCAAACGATCGACCGGATCGTTACAATCTGATCCTGAGCATTTTTTTCAATGGTTCAACAAAGTTTCCTAATTTCTTTTCTAATTTTGGGTCGCACCGGAAACTTTTTGAAGTATGTCGCATTTCGAATTCAAGACACAAACCTTCTTGTACGTTAAAT